TCTCCCCCCACCAGATCCCTGCCTCCTCTTCTCTGTCCTTCTGTGGCTCTTGTCATCCTGCATTGCTCCACCTGCACTGTGGTGCAGCGCTTACATTCCCAACTCTGTACAGACACACACACACAGAGGGAGACACACGCCCACCACTTCCGGCACCCCCCTCTCCTCCCCCTCCTTTTCAGATATCTCCACTGCAGACACGAAACATTCTACAACCCCTGGTGTGCCAGCGCTTCATCAGGAGCCACTGCTTGCAGTACATCAGACTGTTGTTCTGCATTCACACACCCAATGTGACTTCTTGTTCTTAAAAGAAACATGTCTTACATGGTGAGCAAAGGAAAAAGAGAAAATATAAGTATCTGCGATTACTCCTTGTACCGATGAACATATCATTTTAACCATCAGTTCTGGGAGTTCACTTTGGTGTAGTTTTTATTTTTATACCAATCTCATGTTCTTTTGTGTCAGTTTTTATGTCTATATATTTTTAATTTTTCATTTTTAATGGTTCTACCTTTTTTCGTCTTTAGAGCACTTGGGCGTCTGCATTGGTGTTAAATGGTATAGGATTGGTTTGAATATATATAACATACAATGCTTAAATAGTACTGACCTGAAGTACATCCTATGTACTTGAAATACACCTTTTAAATGGAAGATTAGGGATTTCAGTAGTATGGGTCTGTCAGAACTTTATAAGCAGTTCACATCTGCAGTCGGGAACTTCGTGATGTATTAATTCATTATAACAAATTATAGTTGAACCTGGATCTTGAAAGTAAAGTTGAGTTTAAGCAGTTGCTAAAACCTAAAAACTTGCTTTTACCATATTTAATCAGATCAATCTAAAACAAACTGAAGTCAAATGAGTGCATTTTTTAACTTCTAACTTTTGTGACGGTTGCATTAGTTGGTTAATTTGTTAGAAACGTTTCACAAAAAAAATGGTAGCAAGAGGCAGTGCGTCACTATAGATTATCCTGAGATTATCCTTAAATGTATCAGTCTTACTCATTAGAGCATTGGTGGAGGATTGGTTGTAGGTCCCAATTTCATGTTAAATATGGTTTAATGAATTTTTGTAGGTAGCTTGCTTTAAGCACACTGTTTGTAATTTAGCTAGATTTCGCTCCCTCTGAAGGGACACTCAGGACCCATGAACTCATTGTCCTTTTAGCTGCACAGAGGTCTCATATTTCCTACCTTCTGTTCATTGCTGTACCAGTAATCAGACGGATCTAAACTTGTGGCTGTGTTGAACACCCACCTGAAGTAAACAGGACTGTTACTGCTATCAGATGATCAGTTGCCATCAGTCACATGCACAAGAGAATTTAAGAAAAATTTGTCAAAGAATAATAAAGTAATAAAAGAAAAAACATTTTTACTTAAAATGTTTATTTTTTTCCTCCTTTCCGCTTCTTTTAAGCTGAAAGACCATGGAGGACAATCCTTACCCAAAAGCTCTTCAGATGCATCAGATATGATCTGCTATCCTGCTTTCCAACTTAATCTATTATGTTTATAAGTTCAAAACTTAATTCAATGACTTCTTACAGATTAAAGCTATTCATTTGGGTTGGAGCAGCAATTCCCTTTTAGAGTGTAGACAAGGGCCAACAGGGGCCAGTGCCCTTATGGAACTAGTGTTGGCCTCTATTATGGCTTCTGTATTTAAGACAATAGGCACATTTCTAATTATGATATGCTTGCATAGAATTCATAACTGATTGATCCCTTAGCCTAATTTAATTTTCTGAAATTTGACAGTTTCACTCTAATAATCATTCAAAAATTCAGTGGTTACATATTTAGCTTTTGTGATTTTCAGACAGAATCTTTCTTTTTTTTTTACTGGTATATAATTATGTTTCCAAAGCTCTTTGGCTTACTTAATATTTCAACAATAAATTGTTGCCCCTTTTTTTATTTTACTCTTTTGTTTTGTGCCCCCAGGAAAAAGAAGGGTCCCATTCTGCACCCCTGGAAAAGTTGGTCTAGAACCACCCCTGCTAAAGGACCTTAACAAGTAAGTACTCTAGATGTGGCAAAGCAGTGACTCTACTTCCTACACCTAAGTATACCATGATTCGTGACCATAGGCCTTTTTTTTCACAGTCAATCTTCTGGCATTTGAAAGATAAAGCATATGGGTTATGCATATTATACCCTTTCAGTTGTAAAAAAAATGTACTTGCCCTTGTTTCTATCAATGGTGTCTTGCTGAGAGAGTGTTTGCTTACATCTGAAAATGCTTTTCAGAATCTTGCCTTCCTATTTTTCAAAAATCATAGGAATAGGGTGAGATGAGACCAGAACATTGAATGCATTTCACTGCTAAAGTGATCTAGAAATAGTTAAAACATTCTTATAAAAAGTGTGTGTTTGCCATTAATCTTAACAGAAACAGAAGATGATTTACCAATTGAATTAATATTTTTGCCCTTGAAATAAGATCATTAGATATTACGCACATAGAATAAGACAATGCTTTTTCCCCCTTATTTTAAATGTAAGATGTCCTTTTCCATTTACAAAGTTTCTCACTCATCTGCTGAATTCTAGAAAAGAAATGCCCTTACTTTAAGAAAATTGACTTGCTTAAACTCTCTTTTTTGCTTTGAGGAATGTAATGTGAAAAAGGAATCTCACTGAGAAAATCTTTAGTGATCGCATTTACAGTAGTCAAAATATAAACAATAAATCTAGTATAGTATTTTTCTTGCAGTCTACTTCAAGCAAAACCGCCTAATTAACTGAGAAACACTGTCATAATAAGAGCATCATCTGATAACAAAAAATAAATCAACCCAGACCACTGAATTTTTCAGTTATTAAGAAGATGAAGTAACGTTTATGGAGGATAAACATTCTGTGCAGAAGACTAAAGGAAAAATGGAGTCCGACTACTTCAATGTGGTGTTGCTAGGGTAATAAAACTGTTTACCCAAGCATCAGAAAAACAGTTGATTCCAATGTGAATTCTACTTTTAATGGCTATAATGTGAACATATATATTTAAAACACAAAAATCTCTTTTGTCCATTAGGCTTATAACAAATTTTGGAGAACACACAGACAAATGTTGTAAAACCGTCAGAGTAGAAAAGAGAAAGTTTGTTGCTGGGTTTATCCCAAGGGTACAGTAAAGGAACAAATAGGAGGAGAAAAATAACATAATGTAATCAATCCTGACACCTAGTGGATGGTGTGTGTAACAGAGTACAATGTGTTCATGTTGTACAGTAGGACGTATTAACACTTCCATTTGTGTCTTTATATAATGTGGAGTCCTTTAAGCCCCCTTCCCCCAGGCTTCATTTATATAGGTCAACACCTACGTAATAATTATGTAATTCCATTTTTTGCTGAAATATTAGTCTTAGGATTTAAAAAGGTAAATTAATCATGTGAAATAAATAGAACTCATAGGCCTTTTCTATGGAGATGAAAAAGTAGAATGATAATTTACTATCAGTAACCTATTCTTTAATGTATTCAGTGTAAGGAATTAAAATTGTACATTAGGCACAGATTTAAAAAGAAATGATACTGTATCACAATATTGGGGCTGCACAACATTAGAAAAGAACATGTACAGATTCAGTAGAAATTAAGCCAGATTTTCTTTATTCTTTATTCTTTTTCACAACTTTTTTTCCGATAATCTCTATGAGCCTCAGCACAGCACATATTATACTTCCACATCTGAGACTGGATTCAGGGAGTTATAAATATACTTTTGCTATATTGCCCATTAGGGGTGTAATTAATAAACGTTTTGTATCGATACATCAATCCATAGGTGGAGTACAACTTTGTTACTTCTGTTATTTGCTGTTGTTTCCAAAATGAAATGCATAACGGTATTACTGCTTTCATTGATTTTTTTCAAATTTGAAACATTGTCTATCCTGTAAGGTAAAAAAATAAATAAATAACCAATTAATCGAATTGAACAGTATCATAGTGTATTCTGTTGTATCGAAAATAATCGAATTGTTGGGTCAGGATATTGATACTGAATCGAATCGCCATGATGGGTGTGATTTACACCGCTGGTGCCCATGACCTTTAAAAGCTGATATATGCTATAAAAGTGTTTCTTTGTCTAAATAGCTAGTGTTGGTATAATTGTAGTACGGTATATTTAGTTCTTCTGAAATTGCAGTGTAAAATTTGTTGTCTGGAAAATAACATGTCTGGGAACTGACATGTTGAAGGAAAAATGAAATGATGAAAAACACTGAAATTCTTTTTTTTTTATCAGTTGAAGCATTGTTCTCTAAAACAAGTGTGTCTCTTATACAAAAGGAATGCTTTATTAAGATCAACTGTTTGAGTTAATCTTAACTGATTTTGTGTTTTTTTTTCTTTCTGTATCTGTATGCCTTATAAAATGTAATGCAATAATTTACTTTAGAAAAACAACTATTTTTAGCCTGGTCAGCCAACGGCCTGGCTTTTTGCATGGGTGGGAGCAGGGTATAGGTGGCAATGAACTTCTGCCCTCTTTCACCATACCACGAAGGATGGCCTTGCAGTCCTCTGCCTTTGTAACGCACCTAATGAAACACATAAGTCACATTTGGAGAACATGTGAGTATAGTGTATATTACCATATTTGAACGCCTAAGAGTGTAAAACTGTATTTTTTATTATCATTATTTATCCATGCTTAATTTTACAATCATTGTATCATTACAACCTTTTTTATTTTTTCTAATATTCATTTATTTATCAATAATTTATTTTTCACATTTAGACAGCCTACTTGTCTCTTCAAACAATATGACATTTAGCAGCACATTTATTTTGTATTATGACGTTTTATTTATGCATCTAAATCAGTCGCTTTAGAAAATCGTAGAATTTGTTCATTTATTCAAATAAATAAATAAATGGACACCGAAATTTAATACTACTATACTAATCCGGTTTGAATACAAAACAATTATCGCTGCGCTTTTAGATTTGATCAGTTCAGGCCACCATACTTGTTGTGTTTGTTTCGAAGCAAAAATGGCGAACGAACTGGACAGAGTGCGAATCTCAGCCGCGGAACTTCGCGCAGAAGCTACAAATTCAGAGCAAATAGTCGATCGTTTCAGCGGTAAGAGAGAGTGCGTTCCGTCCTAGGATGGCACACGATGTTTAAAGACTCGTTAACTCTACTAAAACAGTAGCTGGGTGTCAAAGTTAGCAGGAAGTGCCGCGCGGAACTGCTAACTTCTTATCTAGCTAATGTTGTTAGCCGCACTGCTCTTGGTGTGTCTGTGCTCTAGTGTTCGAGGCTCGAATATTTCATATTACTAAATAACTGTTTAATTGTGCTGCTTATTCTTTCTACCATTTCAAAAGTGGTATATTTAAACATTTTAGTTTTTTATTGTTCAATATAAATATTCATTTTAATTTGTAAAAGGTAAGCCTTGATTTAGAGTGGACGTTAATGACAGTCAGCTCCATTAGGGGATGTTAGTGCTACCTTAGCAACAAAGATAACTTTTTGTTTTAAAGCTCTAATCTAAGTTCTTTTGTAGGGTGTTGTAGTATTTTTTTACGTCTTTTTCAATATTTTGTACTCGAAATTATCAAAGTGATTACACGTTCACTCTACTGCCAGTGGTTATTACTTTGAAATAGATTTTTTTTTAAATGCAGCTCGTGCCCTTTTGTTGCAAAATTATCATGTTTCCTATTTGTGAATTAAGTCTCTTAAAGTACAGAGTTGTTCAGTTACTTTTCAGTTAACACCTGAAGCTTAATGTTTAATGTGTTTGAGATCATTTTCATGAAACAAAACAAAGGTTTTAACCATTTAGCTGTTGAGTTGAATGTTTTGGATATAGTATTAATTTCTTTCATCTTCTGTGAAAAGCTGCATTGGCAGAAAAACAGTCTCACAGCAGGATGCCTCAATAGTTTACGCTGGTGAATGTTCTCAGTCATCCAGGTCATGGTCACTCCAAAAAAAAAAATGTAAAAACAATCCACTGACTATTCCTGAAACGTCTTCAAACCTGGAAACCAAGTCCATTGGATTGTTTCAAAGTTTTCTTTTTTTGAATGAATACTTTACATTTGGTGCTGTGATTTTAGGTTTAAAAACCTAAACAGCCTTCCAAACATTCTTCCTATTAATGTGACCAAACAGCCCAATCTTAGTTACATTTCACTGTAAAGTATTTCTCAAAATGAACCTTCTGTAACTCCAGGATTATGTACATTATTTTCGCCTTTGAGATTTATACCTGTGTTCTAGCATCTCTTGTTGGAAGTAGAAGATCGGTGATGTATCCATAGCAGAAAACCAATCATTTTCACTGAGCTTTTCGGCTCCTTATAACAGTTGTAATACATATTCACCAGGGCTAATGCTGGGATTCTTTTAAATAAATGAAAAATGTGCACAATTACCCTGCAACTTGCTGACTGATCATTATTCAAATATGTATGATGTGTGGGTATATTTTTTTTTTCTGTATTCATGATTTTGATATGGTTCTTCAAAGAAAAAATCTAAATTCTTGGATTAATTTGTGTTTAAAATAAATTTAAGCTGTCGTTGCCGTCTTAAAAATTCTGCAGTTTAAAAAACAGTTAACTTAGTTAGGATGCTTTGAAATGGTTGACAAATTAAATGTAACACTGTTACACACTTTAGTATAAGCAGTTTCTAAACAAGTATGACACGTAATGATGAAGAATGATATTATTATACAATACATGTTTTATTTATGTCTTTGAATGATGCAGATCTTTAATGTTCATATTCAGCATTTTTGGTTTCTTTCTTTCTTTCTACTTTTTCCAGAGGAGCAACAGGAACATAAAAAACACAAGCAGCACAAGAAGCGTGAAGCGAAACGTCCTGACCTGCAGCGTTATCAACCAGTGGCTGGACACGGACGCCGTCATCGAGACAGTGAGGAGGAAGAACCTGGTCAGAGTGATTCTCTAGATGCCAAAACACAGCAGAGCGATCAATCATCACACAGTGACAAGGACAAAGGGTCTGGAAATGATTTAGCTAGACAAGGGTGTACCGACCTGTCAGGTACCAAAAGCAGTGAAGACAGAATGAGAGGTGACGGCAGTAACAGCCTCATCTGTAAACAAAGTACACAATCTGTGGGTAAAACAGATGCAAACAGTGAAAAAAGGTTTGATGAAAATGAAAAAGAAACAGAAGAAGCTTCTGGAGCTGCTAAACCTGCAAAGAAAGTCCGCAAGCCTGACAGAGCGTTTTATCAACCCGGGAGCCGCAGGAATGTGCAGGGAAAAGACAGTGGTGGTGGGAAAGAGGTGGTTAAGCCTTCTCCCAAAAAACAAGGGTCAAACAATGAGCCAGAATCTCTGTCAAGTACAGGTGATGGGAGCAATGAAAAACCAATAGCCAAACATGGAGCAAAAGATAAAGAAATCAATTCTGACTTCAAAAAGAAAACTACAGAACAAGGGAGACTAACTATGGACCCATCAGTGGAGAAAATTATGAGTAAAGTTGAAAAACTCAACATTAAAGAAAAAGGGGAAGCTCAGAGTCATGGCAGCAATTTTGAAAATGTTACCTCTACAAGAAGAGAAAGAGAAAAGAGTTCTCAAGGTGCAGAAACCAAAGGTGAGCAAGAAAAGGCAGCTAAGAAGGAGAAAGGTCATCACCGGAGAAGAGGAGGGGAGAAGAAAGAAGAAAAAGGGGAAGGTGTGGATTTTAAAGGAGAAGATGAATTAAATCAAAGTAGAAAGAACAATCAGCGAAAGGCTGAGAGAGAAAAAGAAAAGAGGGCTCCCGAGGCAGACAGAAGAAAAGTGGATAAACCAGGAGAGTCACGGTCAAGAAAGGATAATCCCAGAGAAACTCATAGCATAAGAGACAACAACAGAGACTTTAAAGACTCAGGAAAAGCTGCTAAAACAGGGAGCCATGTAGACAGGGCTATTGAGGAGCGTGATCGACCAAGATCTAATCTAAATCCCCCTACACCAAACTCGAAGCGTTATTCCAAATCTAATATCCGACACTCCCGGAACAGAACTTATAGCAGTAGTTCAGCGAGCAGCGTAACCAGCCAAGATGGTCCAAGGCCACGAATAGGCAAAGAGAGCGCCAAGTGGCAACGCTTCCCTGGGCAAACTAACAGGGAGTTGGTGAATAAACATGAGGGGCGACAGAGACATTCTTCTACAGAATCACTGGATGGGAGTGAAGTGTGTTACAGAGAAGAGGAGGATAGAAGGAGGAGGAGGAAAAGAAGTGTTGAGAAGGAAGAAATGGGTGCCGTAAAACGAGGGGAGGACAGGAAGACGTCAAAGTCAAGTAAAATGGGAGGTCGAGGAATCCTTAGGGTTTCTTTAGATGATCAGTCATCTATCCCAAAGGATAGCTCAGTTCCTCGTGGCAGAGGGAGAGGCATCCTGGTGCTTCCCGCCCGCACCGAAATCTCTCACTCACCTGAAATGGGGCAGAGGCTGTTTTCTGCTGGAACTCGGGGAGGAGCAGCTGGCAGGAACAGAGGAGGCCGAGGAGGAGGAGCAAGACGTCTCTGGGATCCAAATAACCCCGACCAGAAACCTGCTCTTTCCAACACTCCCTCATCCAAGCATTCGGCTCTCAAACAGCCACTGTACCTTCAGGCTGGGACTGGATACGGGCAGCTTCACTTTCTGGACACAGATGATGAATTAGCCGGCAGCCCTCCGGTGCCACAAGGGGATCACTTCCAGTCCCAGCAGGCTGCTGCTATGGCGTACTACAAATTTAAAAACTCTGACAACCCTTACTGCTACCCCATACCCTCCAATAACACACACAATCCAAACACCACAACGGGGCAGCACTTAGCTTACCATTATGACATCGGGCCGTACCAAATGGCTTCCCTTAATGGTACGTACCCGAGTCCAGGTACTAGTCCATACAGTGGTAGTTATAGGGGGGCAGCATACACCCAACCGGCTATAGGAGGTGGTCTGACATATGAAGAGGACATGGGGAGGCTGCTGAAGGCTGCAGATGCACATGAACTTCAGCTCAGTAACCTGATCTCCAGGGACAGAGTCAGCGCGGATGGCTTGGACCGTATGTCCCAGCTCAGGTGAGCATTGCTGGAAAAAGTGTGTTTATACTTCAGGCTCGCAATATTTATCTGTCTATGTTGTTTTTTGAAGAGCTGCACTTTTGGGGCTGTATGAGCGGATAATTCTGACAGATATCGAGTTTTCCGACTCCAAGAACGTGGATCAGGCTTTGTGGAAGAACGCGTTCTACCAGGTCATCGAGCGCTTCCGGCAGCTGCTTAAAGACCCCCCCTGTGACGACATGCACGATATCAGAAACATGCTGCTCACGCTTCTAGATGAGGTGAGAAGCATGAGGACTTCAGGACAGAGAAGGAAGCCACTATGCAGCCTCCTGTCATCACTAAGATGTGAACCTTCTCTCTTTATTTTTTTTTTATTTAAGAAGTAAATATAGACTAGTCTCATTATTACAATTGGAATGCGAAAACAAAAATATTCCTATTTCTACAATAATAAAAAAAAGTCTGTGGTCTCTGTTTCATTTAGAGGTTGCCATATTTGTTTCCCACATAAGCCCCCTGTGCAGTCCTCCAGCAGTGCTTTAAAATAATAATTTTGGAAAAAAAAAAATACCAAAGGACACTTCTCTTTAATAAACACATCAGTGTATGATATAGAGTTAAACAACACATGGATCTACATATTTTATTTTTTTACTAAAACAGCAAGAGCTGTCCTCAGGAGTAAATTGACAAACTAAACATGCTGTGAAAACTAAAATACTTCCCCACTTTTCTCAGTTGATTCTTATTGATTTAAACATATATATATATATATATATATATATATATATATATATATATATATATATATATATATATATATATATATATATATATATAGTTTTTAAGTAAATGTCAAATTGCAGTTGTCAACATGGTTTGCAATCACTAGTACGATAAAAACATCTCTACACCTTTTTCTTAAATATTTTCTTCAACATATTTGTTCAGCCCAAGGTCTAGGTGTTAACAAACAGAGTTTATGTGACCCTAAAGGAAGAATAATTGCTCTTCTAATAATCTTCAACTCAAATAATCTGTGGATTATTGACTGGAGCAAGATGAGACACCAAAGCCAAGTATGTACTACTTAAAGCAACATGGGCTTCTTTAACAAATCAAACAGCACAGCCTATTCACCTTTGATTAAAAAAAAGAACCATGACCTAATGATGTGAAAAAAGTCCTGACAGCAAAGAATAGTGATGATTTTTTTTAAAGATATACATTTTTTTAATCTAATAAACAGAGAAACTGAATGGTAGGCATTGTTAGTTGTAAGTCATAAACATTAGAAAAATAAGAAATGTTAAAGTTCTCAAACTGCAGGTAACCTGGGATGATTAGACCCAGATGTGGCTTTACGTAGTCTATCAATTCATCTTTCATCAGAAGAAAATGTAAAAGTGGGTTTTTCTCTACTTTCACAGGGAGCATTGTTCTTTGATACGCTGCTTCAGAAGCTGCAGGCTGTGTACCGGTTTACATTAGAGGACTACATGGATGGTATGGCCATCAGAACTCGTCCTTTGCGTAAAACGGTATGTAAATACTGCTTTTTATTTTGTGAGTGTATATAACCTGTCAGAATTGTATTGATGTGTGCAAGTCACACTTATGTTTTAAGTATAATATTGTTCTTTGTGTTTGTATTTGTATTTTTAGGTAAAGTATGCACTTATAAGTGCACAGCGATGCATGATTTGTCAGGGTGATATCGCACGCTACCGAGAACAGGCCACTAACTCTGCCAACTATGGCAAAGCTCGCAGGTAGGCAGATCTTTTAGAGGGATTTCTGTAAATCCTTAAAAACACACATGGTCTTCTTGAAACTTTTATCAGTAAATATTTATTTACTTGATTGAACAGAATCAATCACAGTACTTTTGTTTTTGAATAGCAATGTCCATGGACAACCCAGTTAGGAGTTATTATAGCATAACATAGTAGCCATGTTAGATCCCAGTTTGATTCATTGCTGTCCAATTTTTCTCCTCTGTCTCAGCAATGTGAAGCATCTCTCAATTATTTTGATTCAGTAGAATATGAATGAAGATGTTAATTTCTTTCAAAAACTCAATTAATTTTATCTGTTTGCTACTTTTTTTTATGCTTATCTGTTTGTTATTCCTAAAAAGTTTATCTTAGGTTAAACTGCTGTTCTTGAAAAATACATTGATAAATGTCCTAATTGAAATGCATATTCTTCAGCGAATTATTGTTATATTTAATTTTTTAATAATGTTGGGTGTTCATCATTTCTTTTTTCTATAGTTGGTACCTGAAAGCTCAGCAGATTGCACCTAAAAATGGACGACCCTACAACCAGCTGGCCTTGTTGGCAGTTTATACAGTAGGTGATGCCAAGATAGTAAAAACAAGTATTTTGAAATGTATTCTTATCTTGATTTCTTTCTTTTTTTTTTTTTATTATTAGTTTATTTATAATTCACATAAATTAGTTTATTTATAATTCATATACCATTACCTAAGAAAAGCCTAATTTTCAGTCAGTTTCATTTACCGCAATTTTCAGACTATTAGCTGCACCTGAATATAAGCCGCAGAAGCTAAATTGCATGATTTGTACATATACAAGCCGCACCGGACTATAAGCCGCAGGTTTTTTATGTTTAATGTCCGTCTTTCTCACTGTCGTTCTGTCTCGTACCACTCGCGGTAGAAGTCCGCTTCTGGAGGACCTACGCATTAGGTATTACCGTTAGCTGTAAAAGTCCATAGATAAGCCGCATTGTTATATAAGCCGCAAGGTCGAAAAATGGGGAAAAAGTCGCGGCTTATAGTCCGAAAATTACGGTAATCATTTTTTATTTTAAGTCACTGACAGAGCTAACGGATATAATCATTATTTCTAGTTGCCGTTCAATAGCTAGATTGACCCCTGGATCATTCATTTAAACTTGACATGTGGGTCTTAAACACTTTTTCTAAAACATTTATTACAAAAAAGCTTTATGTTTGTGTAGCTTAAGCTCTAGTCCTCTGATAACCTTTGTCTTTCAAGTGTTTAGGTTCAGTTAACCTAAATCCAACAGTTGAATTGCATTTTGACATGCCTGTCAGTAGTGCAAAGAATGTCATCATTTAACTTAAATATGCTAAAGCAGAGATGTACCTACATATCTTAATACACCAGTCCTGAAATAAAAGACCTGTATTTAGAGAAAGTAAAACAGAGCTTTAACACACTGTCATTCTTAGGTCACTTTCACAGTTTTTTTTTTCATGCTTCCTAAAAATCCAGAGTATTATTTTTAATAACACTCTTAAAAATCTTGAAAATGCAATATGAAAATGTTTACACACTCAATCTTTGTTAATGTCTCAGCTAGAGTGGATGTATAAAAACTGCCTCATGTACCAAATTAGGGCTGAAACAAATAATCGGACTGATCGTGATTAATCTATTTTTGAAATGATCATCAACTAATTAAATAATCGACCAATCGTTAAATGGAGGGTAGAGACTCTAAAACATGCCTTTACCTGACCGAGCAACCCACTTACAGCAGTAATTATAAAGAAACTGTAAAAACATTTAAATATTTTTCATTTGAGGTAAAAAAAAAAAAAAAAGAAAATAGGTCAATATGCTTTATCCAGAACTCATTTTAGTTTCACCTGGTTTGATTTTATAGAAAATCTTCTTTAAGGAACCTTTGGCTGTGCCATTATTAATCGATTGATCGAATAAATAATCAACAGATAAATGGATTTGCAAAATAATTGTTAGTTGCAGCCCTATACCAAATGTAAACCTCGAACCTTTTAAGCTATAGTTATAGAAATTAATTGGATATAATTGATAGAAAAGTTATATATGTTTTGTCCAGTCGTAGGTGTTTTGGTTCAGTCACAATGATCAGTATTATCCTTCATGATGTCTGAGCTTTAGTGTTTAAGAAAGACTTAGCTAAAAGTTGTTGGTCCTTTCTTAATTTAATGTGTTTAATTAGGGCCTAAGACACCAAAATATTGGAGTAAATATTTAACATAACATACAGTATGATGTGTTTTAATTATTTTTCTATCTTTTTCGTCTACAGAAGAGGAAGTTAGATGCTGTGTACTATTACATGCGCAGTTTGGCAGCCTCTAATCCCATTCTGACAGCAAAGGAAAGTTTAATGAGCCTCTTTGAAGAAGCTAAGCGCAAGGTAAGTCATCAAAATGCACAGTGTTTCTGAGGAAGCAGTCATCAGCCTTTTTTAAGTCTGCCATTTGAAGTTTGATTTCCACAATGGAAACAGAACACGTTCATGACGATCATAATCTTTATTTTAACAGGCTGAACAGTTTGAGCGAAGAAGGAGGCAGGAGCATGAAGGAGGTTCCCAGGGTCCAGCAGTGAAAGGGAGACGAAAGTGGGATGATGGCGCCCGTGTTGAGGTTTGGATCCGCCCTGGTGGCCAAACAAGAACCCCATCATCTCAGAGAGGCGGCAGCCAGTCCAGCAGAGACTCCGAACAGGATGGAGAGCTTGGCAGTCTTAGTGCTGCTGAGGTAAAATATCCCTTCTTTTCTGCCTTGCTAAATTTTAATGGGTCAGATACCATTAATTAGATCCACCATTAATGAAAAAATTTATTGTATTAGAAAATACTCATGTATAGCGACTTCCTGGGAGAGGTTGTCCTCCAGAACTCTTTAACTTAACTTTCTATTTTTAAATGTACAACTTTTTTTTTCTTTTGTTGTTTATAAAACCTGTTTGAACAGACAGAGGGTGTGTAGGGCTATTTATAGATTTACTTTACTCACCCTTTAAACCTGCTTAACTATCCAAACAACAAAATATACTTAAAATAGTTGAACTAAGACCAGTCAAATTTCTCCACACCAAGCTTTCTACACATGTCTCTTTGAGAGGGATTGCAACACCTAATTCATTGTTGGTTTCACCCAATTCATTTGGCTCTATAGTTTATAATATCATGTGTCCACATCTTAGTTTCTTCCATATGTTTTAGAATATGCACTTTCTTGATATTTGTCCATGCAGCAAGATGTTAGTAACTGTTAGTGTACTGTAGTATATGGCACAAATACACTACTTGCACAGGGATGAATATTTTTTTTGTTGTTTACTTTTCCCCTTCTCTTTTTTTTAGCTAAATAAGCGATTCATTTTAAGTTTCCTGCATGCCCATGGAAAGCTCTTCACTAAGGTTGGGTGAGTCATGACTCCTAATGGGGTTCATTTGTAGATTAACAAAACCAAGCTGTTTAAATGAAGCTAGAATTTTTCTCATGCCTTTTGTGCCGCATAAGTTTTCTAAATGTGTGATGTTGTGTCGCGGCTTCACAGTATGGAGTCTTTCCCTGGAGTGGCGAGTCGTGTTTTAAAGGAGTTTAGGACTCTTCTTCAACATGGCCCTTCACCGCTCGGGTTTACAAACCTGCTGCAGATCATTACCATCAACATGTTTGCTATATACAATGCACATAGTAGAGGTAAGTTTGCATATTTGTTTTCTAAAATTTGCTGTAGGAATTTAAATTCAGACAACTTTGCAAAGTTTTGAGTTTGCTGTGTAAATAGTTTTTTTTATGTAATTGGGCATTGTATTTAACTTCTTAAATGCAAGATTTAAAAAATTAATAAATGCCCTAATTACACACAAAAAATAAAGTTATTTTTCTTTGCCAGGTGAAGAAGGAGATACCCGATCTGTCTTATTAGAACAAAGCACAGCTCTTGGCCTCAGTATGTTTGCCTTGCTGGTCCAGCGATGCACGGAGCTTCTGAAAGAAACTCCCTCAGGTAAATATTTCGTCCAATTCTTTTGAACAAGACTGAGACCATTTTAATGTTCCTTATTTTCCCAGATCACAAGTTTTACATCTCTCTAAGAAAGGATGGAAGGTGGTTAGTATGGGGCCAAAATGGTAGCTTTAATATTTGCAAATGTGTGTGGAGAGTTGTGTGTCTGTATCTCGATTTGTGTGTGTGCAGTGGGATTTGAAAATGTGTAAATAAATCTGTAAATGTGTGAGGAGATTTGTGTGTCTGTACAACAATCTGCAAATGTGTAAAACTACTTGTGTGTAATCCGTTTTGCAAATGTGTAAAAAATCCACAAATCTGTATTCAGATCTGCAAATGTGTACTGAGACTTGCAAATGTGTAAAAAATCCACAAATCTGTATTCAGATCTGCAAATGTGTACTGAGACTTGCAAATGTGTAAAAAATCCACAAATCTGTATTCAGATCTGCAAATGTGTACTGAGACTTGCCAATGTGTAGATCAATCTGTAAGCACACACAGAGACACTTGTGTCTGAAGTATTTTCGCTTCAAGACCCAGAAATACAGACAAATCATTGGTTACAAGTCAAGCGGTTTTTCGGTTGGCTCTCTTTACACACGTGATTTTTGCTACTCTTCTGCCGCGTGAGATGCACAAATGCGTAGAAGGATTTGTATGTGTATTTTCGCGATTTGTAACCCCTTGCGCAGGCTCACATGCTGCCCTGACCGCAGGCTCACAGGCTCACACACATCCTCTTTCTGCTGCGGCAGTTCAGCACAACTTGCTTCACATACAGCCACATACCACCAGTTGGCGGTATTGTACAGTACGTGACGTTACTGGGGTCCTAGGGGTTGTACCTGCTAAGTTGAGAGCAATGGAATCCCGTCAGCTTTCTGTAAGTATATTTCTTTAATTTTTCCTATAGTTTGCATTAGTAAAACAGTTTCTTCTTCTTCTGCTTCTGTTTTATGGCGGTTGGCAAGCAACTTTATGATGTGCATTACCACCATCTACTTCAGTGGAGTGTGGATCGGGATGCTATGTATTTTCCCACTGAAAAATTAAAATAAATATTAACAATATTTACATAAATAAACTTATATCCTTTCTACCAATTTCGTTTTTTCAGGATTGTTTATCAAATTACAAAAATAATCATAAGTAGATTTTTTTCCCCCAACATATCTTGTATATTTAACTGTAATTTATTTTCTTGTAACCCTTCTCTCCATAGAATATTTATAACATAACAACAAAACATGCTCCACCGTCTCCCCTTGATAACAAAAACCACAACCTCCTGTTCCCATTCTAAATAAGTTTCCATTTAACCCCGTGTTTCCGAAACTTAATCTAGATATAACCTCTTTTTTATTCCTTTCCGTTCTCCTCATTTCACCAATTTTCCTTTGAATACTATAAAGCCAACTTCCAGTTCTATGCTCTTCCCACAGCTTCTGCCATCTTTCCGTAACCTTTTGTTTAATAATATATTAAATTTTTTCCTTACTGAATGGTATCAATATATCATCCTTGTCACGTCAACTCCCGCAGCGGAGGAAAAAAAAAAGGTAGAGGCTGTCTGTGAGCCTGTGAGCCTGCGGTCAGGGCAGCATGTGAGCCTGCGAGCCTGCGCAAGGGGTTTACAAATCGCGAAAATACAGATACAAATCCTTCTACGCATTTGTGCATCTCTCGCGGCAGAAGATTAGCAAAAATCACGTGTGTAAAGAGAGCCAACCGAAAAACCGCTTGACTTGTAACCAATGATTTGTCTGTATTTCTGGGTCTTGAAGCGAAAATACTTCAGACACAAGTGTCTCTATGTGTGCTTACAGATTGATCTACACATTTGCAAGTCTCAGTACACATTTGCAGATCTGAATACAGATTTGTGGATTTTTTACACATTTGCAAGTCTCAGTACACATTTGCAGATCTGAATACAGATTTGTGGATTTTTTACACATTTGCAAAACGGATTACACACAAGTAGTTTTACACATTTGCAGATTGTTGTACAGACACACAAATCTCCTCACACATTTACAGATTTATTTACACATTTTCAAATCCCACTGCACACACACAAATCGAGATACAGACACACGACTCTCCACACACATTTGCAAATATTAAAGCTACCATTTTGGCCCCATAGTTAGTAAATAAGTTCTGAGCGATTTGTTTTGTGATAAAGATGGAAGTGAGCATAAAAACAGTTATTCTAAACCAGCTGCTTTAAGAAAAGTTATATTTCTTTATTTTTTTGCTGGAATTGATTTCAGCAGGAAAAAGATCGTAAGAAAAATCCCAAAAACTATGGTTGGTTTTTGTGTTTCCAAACAGCCATTACAGTTAGCTGTGTTTATCTCTCTGTCATGTTTAGTTTTTGTTTTCCCATAACTTGTCAATAATGCATGACTTGCATTGCTACATGTGATGCACCAATAAATAATATATATTTTATTTATTCACAGGTTGGGCTTTTTAAAACCACATTTTCTTCTCTAAAGGAGCTATGCATTCTATTCATTAAATAAACAACAAACTAGCCAAGTATTATTACGAATGGTTGATGCATCCATTCAGCTGTGTCTGACTAAATGATGCGTATGATTCAATTTAAATGGATAAGCATAGTGTTGCTCTCTGTCAGAAGCAGTCCCAGTGGCGGATGGAGAAGAGGAAGAGAAAAGCGAAGAGCTGCAGGGTATGGTCAAAGTTTCTGCATTCCCGCCGGGGTTGAGAGAACTACTGCCCAGCATCAAAGTGTGGTCAGACTGGATGTTAGGACATCCAGAAGAGTGGAACCCACCCCCATGCAGCCTAGAGTGAGTACTTTTGTGGTCTTAAATATAAATCTTCTATGGCCCATCTCCTGCGCTCCATTACTCTACACACTTTGGAACAAATGGCTAAACTGCCTCGCTAGCATTCAGCCAAGCCCTGCAGATCTATTTGCAGGAGCTAATGTTAAGTTGTGTTGAAGCAGAGATGCACTGTATAGTTCCAAGACAAGGTCCTTGACTGAAGTGTGAGACCACTGTAAAATTATTTGTATAAAAACCATGAAGCTAATTTTGTTTCATTGTGTGTTTATGTGAAAGAGCACAAAAGAGCTCTGCATAACCAAGGAGGTATTTTTGTTCATAAATGAACCCACAAAATTAAAAATAAAACATCCCATCACATGAGTCAAGTGATCTACAACTGGAACTTACTGCTGTGCAAAATGATAAAGAAGATCAGAAGTATTTGGAGAATGACGGCGTGGCAGATTTGAAGATTAGAGCCATGGTTCAGCCACATTGATATAACTTAGAATTTTCTGCTGCCACTTGATTTTCAAGAGTTATCACGTGAACAAACATAATCATGTTTGATTATTATGACTTTTTTTAATTACAATGCTGATGTAGTTGGAAAAAAACAAACAATTTATTTCCTTTTTAAAGTAAAGAAAAGCATACATCTATTTGAAAGAAACATGGAAACATCCTATTTAATGGAAATTTGTTATTTATAGAAGATAAAGTAAAAAAAAATATTTCCAACTTTATGACAAGAAAGGTACATTGAAGTTACATTCCTGGTATCCAATGCACTTATTCAACAAAAGAACCTTAGAAACTCCTAAAAACTGAATTATTCAGGTGTTTTTGTTTCCTTTGTTTTATCACTGTTAGCCAAAGTGATAAAACTGTTTATTTAGAGCTACAGTGGAAGGTTCTAAGAACCACTTGTGTCTCTGGAGCTGCAGTTTGCTGAGCCCTCCTCTAGTGCCAATGCAGTCAACCACCTATAGAACACATCCTCTAATGCAATCTCCTCATGACTTCATGTGATGATTCCTTGATCAAGGTGCAGTCCAGATGTTTGGCAGTGTCTTGCTGACTTGTGTAATGCTCTGGCCCTTGTGGACCATGAGGAGATGCCTCTCTACAAGATGGATACGGATGAAGTAGAGGGTGACGAGGAGCTGACCATGCTTCAGTTGAAGGAAGACAAACTGCTTGCTGGCTTTGTGCCACTGTTGGCTGCGCCTCAGGAGCCATGTTACACAGACAAACACACCGACATGGTCAGTGGTTTGTAAAGCACTGGGTGAAAATAAAAGCTTGTGACCACATGCTTTTATTTTCAATATTTTGCATGTGTCCCAAAGTTTCTATGCTGTGGTTTTCGGCACTACTATCTTTCATTCTCTTGTCTCAGGCCATAGCAGAGGATTGTAAGAGGGTAACAGTATTGAAGTACTTCCTAGAGGCTTTGTGTGGACAAGAGGAACCTCTGCTGGCCTTCAAGGGAGGCAAATACATATCAGTCGCAACCTCTCCCTCACTGAACCACTCAGAAGATGCAAGGAGCAGGCAGGATTCTTTAACAGAGAAAGAGGTGAGTGTCTGTGCTCTCCTTTCTCTAAATCTACTGCAGGAAACCAAAACAATAACACCTGCTGTTGGCAAAAAGCTGATCTCATTCTCATTATCGTCTGGTTAGCAGTCCGATGACGTCATACTTGAGGGCGAATCTTCTCTGTCTGGATCAGAAGAAGAGGAGGATTTTGAGGAGGCAGGAGACAGCGAAAACGACATCAAGGAGCTAAAGGCACGGCGGCAAGCCCTCGCTAGCAAGCTGGCGCAGCAGCAGAAGCGCAGGGACAAAATAGAGGTAGGAAACAAAGTATGGATGACCTGTATCGGTAAAGCAATCTGAGACAAAGTGGAGCCTCATGATTCTTTGTGTTTCAGGAGGTGTTACAAACCGGTGGCCAGTTAGAACTGGAAGTGAAGCCCCTGTTTTTGGTCCCAGATACCAACGGCTTCATCGATCACCTAGATGGGCTGAAGAAGCTCCTTCAGTGTGGAACCTACATAATAGTTGTGCCTCTCATTGGTTAGAGAAACAAAGAAAACATGATCATTCAAATGATGAATTAAAAGTTTAAATATTAAACGCCACATATTGCATTTATTCAATTTTTGTGTAGTGACTTTCTTTTGCTTTCTCTTCCAGTGATAACAGAGTTGGATGGTCTGGCTAAAGGCCAGGACCCTTCTGGGGGGGCAATGGGGACAGGAGGACGAAGCACTGGTAGTCGAGGCAACTATAATGTGAGTATGAGCCACGTGCGGGCCGTGCAGGAACAGGCTCGTTCTGCGGTGGCTTTCCTAGAGAGGGGCTTTGAAGGCAGGGAGCCATGCCTCCGAGCCCTAACAAGCCGAGGGAATCAGCTGGAGTCCATCGCCGTCCGCAGTGAAGACACATCAGGACAACAGGTAGGAGCCTTGCTGTTTGCAGTTCCTTGCAACATAGTCGTACCCCTTCTTGAAATATTTAAATTTTCAGGTATTATTTTTCATGTTTGAACCATAAAGTTGAATTTCTTTGAGTTTCATATAAAATATCAAAGCAATTACTATGTAGTCAATTTAAAAGGAATTCATCGTTTTTAGGATAAAAATGTTCATACCGCTAAATAAAATCAATTGCAACACACTTAATTTTACAAAAATTTAGATTAGGAAGTGTAAAGTCAAATATACATGTATCTTTCTGCCTTCAAGGTCCAGCTGGCAACACAGAGATGAAACATTTCTACTGACATCATTATGTACGAGCAGCAAATAATTAATAACCTCGTTTACACCTTCCCTCTATGTGAATAGAGTCTGTATCGTACTTCAGTCTTCTAGCCTGGGTGGAACGGTTCACAAAATCCACGGTTTCGTGGTCACGGTTTTCGGTTCGGTTCGGTACATGTTGATTGTTAGCCTAACATGTTGGCCGTGTTGCTGTTAGCATAAACAAAACGTGTTGCACAATGCTTGCACACCGTTTTTATCCACAACTTTCTTTCCGCCGTCATGGTAGGTCACTCTAAAGTAGTGGTCCCATACAGCAGACCTATAAAGTGCTGCTGGCGCGTCTTCCAACTCCTGTTCTTTCCCACTCGCCATACCCACACAATTCTCCACAACAACAGATTTTTTTCTGCTACAAGCGGCTATGCTGCTTCGCTTCTTCTTCTTCTTGTTTACTACTGGTGGTTAGCTTTGGTCGCAGTACCGCCACCTTATGCTCTGAAGTGTGAACGCTTTGCCTATGAGAAAAAGGAGCCGCGCATGAACCGAACGCAACACACGTGAATCAAACCGAGACAGTCGAACCAATTGGTTCGGACGGTTTACATAAACCGTTCCATCCCTAATATATATGTATATATATGTATGTGTGATTTATTCCTTTTTTTTCTTTTGTTTATGGTTTTTCCTTTTTTACTCCTTTACTTGCGATTGTTCAGTATTTTGTTTGGATCTTTTATTTTTTTTAATATATTTTTCCAGCAGTGCACCTTTTACCTGTCTTGCTAGTTAAGGCTGATTTATACTTCGAAACTAGGTCATCTGCGTAGGTGCAGTGAACAAAAAGCCGTCCCCGCCCCTCCACAGACACTCCGCTGCACCTCTCCCTAATTGTAACTGACCGCAGACAGTGCCGCAGACAGGAGGCCGGCTTGTTTTGTTTTTATGACCGAAATTGCGGAAAACAACTTGTGAAGTTTGACCAGCTAGAAGATCGAGGTGCGGGAGAACGCTGGGACCCTTTTTCCACTTGGATCCTCGCTCTTTTTCGCCCTCATGTCCCTCTGTTGTCGGACTAAACTTTTTTCTTAAAGTGATGTCACTATGAGCTTCTTTTATTCATTTTGAATAAAGAAACCATTAATTAACCTTTTGGCCAATGTGCAAAACCACACATGCAAAGTAAAATAACACCCCACATGACTTTTAGACTATAGAGCAAACCCCTCTGTCATCCTAACAGAAGAAGATCCCATCTTCAACAACATGCGGTTGTTTTATAACTAACACAAGCCAAACTCATCCCTTTATCTGCTCTCTGTTCTCTTTCAGGGAAACAACGATGACGTGATTCTGTCCTGCTGTCTCCACTACTGCAAAGACAAAGCAAAGGATTTTATGCCTCCTCAGAGAAGTATGTAACAGTGACTCCTTTAAATCACTTTTCACACGTTAAAGTAGCTTTCTGACCTAACTCTGTACCTGACTATAAACAGATGGAACTGTGAGGCTCCAGAGAGAGGTGGTCCTCCTCACGGACGACCGCAACCTGCGCGTCAAGGCTTTGACCCGCAACGTCCCCGTGAGAGACATCCCATCCTTCCTCAGCTGGGCTAAAGTGGGCTGAACCAGAATCGGGCTAAAGTCATAGGGATCTAGCTGATGAAGCCTGCTTGTCACTCAGGAGAGAAGACACTCAAAGCAGAGGAAGAAGAAGGAGATGAGTGGGGAGAGGAAAGGGTAATGAGAACGCAAAGCACCACTTCTTCAGGAATACAAGCAAATAAAGAGCAGATTGGTGTTAATGAGCTAATTTCTCTTAGCGAGGAAGTGTGTGCGTGTATGTATGTTTTAGGATCATCGAGCTTCCCCCCCTTAAGAAAGAATGACTTAATTAGTCTCTAATAGGTTAAAGGAGAAAGAGGTAAAACCGACTTATTGGATCTGGGGGTTACTGCATGCAGCCTGAAACTTCTGCAAGAATAATCCAGATTAAAAGCAGATGATGATGAAAACTCAGTGAGGTAAGCTGTCTGTGATCATTCGTTTGAGTAAGAGAGCAGAATATTACATACGGGTGTCTGCCTTTGAAGGCATCAGCCTGTACTGGTGATCCTCTACAGCAGCGCTGACAGAGCCCAGGGTAGAGCTTGAGTTTTAAGGTTTGTATCAGGAGAGATGATTGTTTGGGCTGAATGACAAGCCCTGTATCCAAATGCAGCACCCAGATAGAATCGTATGAAGACACTGTGTTTCCTGCTTACCCAGGAAATACTTCTTCTTTGGCAGCTTTCTCCAGCTTGATGCTAATGTTAACATATCTGTGCTGAAAAACAAAGTCTTACAAGATTTTTTCTGTTTGTTCTTTTCCCTTTTCTTTATTTCCTGTATATATTGCTTCATTTGATGGACTTAAAAATAAGAAACTGCAATTTCCCTTTGTTTTCTCTTTTTGATATATTATATATATTATTATTTTCTTTGTTTTTTTTTTTTTGTTCTTTTTTTGGTGGGGCCGTGTAACATGTTCAAAACCAGATTCTGTCTGGTGATTTACTTGGTGTTTTAATCCCAGAAAGTTTGTCTTTTGTCATTGCATGGTGGTTTCTCAGACAGCTGTAATCTTAGAAGGGATTTTTTTTTTATCAATTAATGTTGTTTTTTTTTGTTTTTTTCTTCACAACTCTTCAGTAATCTTTAAATTTTTTTAATGAATTTCTTTTAATCAACACTGCCTGTTTGGAAATAAGGCAGTGATAGCTTTTTTATAAATTTTTTTTGGGGTGGTATAAAGTTTAAATAAACATGATAAAATTTGTATTAAAAAAAACAGTCGACAAATAATTGTTGTTTTTTTGTTTCTTTATCCATTGTGTTCAACAATCAGCATCATGTTTGTTTTTCCGTTTTATGAAATGCATCAAAGTTAATACCGTCTGTTATATGTTTGCTTTTTGCACTCGTGTTACTTTTTTGGTGGGAGGGTTTAATGTCAGGGCTTAATGAGATTTGCCTTAATGCAGTGTTTCTCAACTCTGGTCCGTAGGACCCACAGTCCCTAATGTTTTGGATGGGTGTCCTCTCCACCGCACTTAAATTCAAATGATTGTATTTTATCCTGCATGCCATCAAGTAGCCTGTTAATCAGGTGTGTGAGAGAAAGAAAAACAGCTGAAACTGCAGGACAGTTGGCCCTGAGGAGGAATGATGAGAAACCCTGCTTTAATGCTTTCATTTCGATAATCCTGGAATTCCATCACGTTCTCAGAGATGGGGGATCTGGAGTCAACACGTCATTTCTATGTCATGAATTTGTTCTGCCCTGACACAGAACAAGGCGACTCCAATCTGCACAGGTTAAACCAGATTGGACAGATTAATCATAGAGATGATTTGTTGAAACCAGATCCCCCATCTCCGCTTTTTGTTGGTATCAAATCAGCTACTTATGAAAGAAACACTGTTTTTCTTTTGTATATTGAACTCTTGATAGAAAAACAAAATTAGACTTGCAAATAACACAAAGAAATCCAACAATCTGTATTGTTAAGAAAAAGCAGCAAGACAATGCACATCTCTGTGGATTTAATCATTGTGGGGTCAAAAATTGGGTGAGGGTTTTTTCTTGTAAATGCGTGCTTTTGAGAATTCTGTTTTCTTGAGTTTGTGTGGGTGTTTCTGTTGTAAATCTTTATCTGGATGCTTTTTGTGACATCAGCGTATGGCTCCTCCCTAGCTTCCTTCGCCATGTCCCTTTTTAATGTTCAGTGGCATGTAACTCAAACAAAGTTATACTGGAACTTCAGCCATTATTCCATGAGCAGCTTATTTGTTTTTGCCAACTTGAGCAATCAAGAAAGCTGTTTCATTGCTATATGTTGTGTTTTTGGTTCTGTGGCACATTTCAATAAAAATTACTAAACAATCACTTGGTAGTCATGGATGCTCAAATGATGGTGGTTATAAAGAAAAACAAAGATGTCTTGACAAAGGAAAACATTTATTCTCTCAGGTTTCTACATGGAAATGTGGCAAAGAGGTTAATAAAGCACCTTGTGTAATAAAAATAATTAGAAAAACCAAACTCATCTAATTTGAATAATCATTAATTTAGTACCAAAACCATCACTTATATGCAGTTATTGCATTAATGGAAGGTGTATTGGAAGCAACTAGGGCTGCGACTAACGATTATTTGGTTAATTGATTAATCTGTCAATTTTTTCGATTAATTGAATATTCAAAAAAAATTTTAAAGATTGATACACAATTAAACCATGTGAAACAAATGTTTCCCTTCTGGATAGAGCATATTAACAGATGAAAGATGACGTTTTTATGTTAAATTTTGGTCTAAATACTGCTCTAAGTGGGTTTCTCTATCAGCTAAAGGCATGTTTTAAAGTCTATACTCCAGCTCACGATTAATGGATTACAAAATGTGTTGATTATTTCGATAATCGATTAATCAGACTAATTTTTTCAGTCCTAGAAACAACCCACTTCTGCTTTCAGCCCATGCAATGGATATATCATTGAACGGTAGCTCTGGAAACACCAATACTTCACTTAAATATGATTCACAATCCTTCCAAGGTGCTAGTTTTTCATGTGCACCACTTCTATCCTCCATTAACTTCCTGCTCAGACACAGCCTTCTTATCATAGCAGGGATTATTCAGCAACCACAATTTTAACCAAATCAAAATCGCTTTAAGTGGCAATTTCATCAGAAAGGTTCTCCTGCATTGGACTTCGTTGAAAGTGTCGTTGACACCTGGACATACAGCGGGTAAAATAATTCAATTCAATTCAGTTTATTTATATAGCGCCAAATTCACAACACATGTCATCTCAAGGCACTTTACAGTTCAACCAGATCATACAGTCTAATTGATACAAAGTTTTCTATCTAAGGAAAACCAGTTGATTGCATTGACTCAAATACAATCCCTCACACTAAGCATGCTTGTAGCAACAGTGGAGAGGAAAAACTCCCTTTGAACAGGAAGAAACCTCCAGCAGAACCAGGCTCAGTGTGAGCGGCCATCTGCCGAGACCGACTGGGGTTCAAGGAGACAGAAGCAGAGATACAAAAAGCAGCTGTAAAAGGCGGCCCCGTCCAGGAAACACACAAAATAAGTATTGAACACTCCTCCATTTTCTCAGTAAATATTTTTCTAGAGGTGCTATTGATATGACATTTTACCAGATGTAGGTAACAATCTACACACACAAAGAAAACAAACCATAGGTGTCCAGAAATTATGTAGAACATTGTGAAATGGCACAGGGAAAAATTATTAAACACATGGCATGGAAAGCCAAGACATCAGCAGAAATCTGCCAGTAATTAGTGCAATCCTTGTCAATTCAAATTAATATCAGCTGGTTCAGTCCTAAATGATGGCCTTTAAAAAGGTATATCTGATGTCACACAAGAAACATCTCATGATGGGTAAAAATAAAGAGCTTTCTCAAGTTCTTTGCAACCTTAATAATGGCACTGGTTACAGAAGTATTTCTAAACTAAATGATCCATCATTTTGTATCTATATACTGTCATATTCTATGAGTTAGAATATGCATTCTTTGAGCCTCCTTATTCAGAATAAAAGTATATCTTTAAAATAAATCAGTAAGGCTCTGCCCAAAGACACTAGAGACAAAGTTGTACACCTCTACAAGGGTAAAAAGGGCTATGGGGAATTTGCCAAGCAGCTTGGTGAAAAAAGGTCCACTGTTGGAGAAATCATTAGAAATAAAAAATGGAAGAAGCTAAACATGACTGTCAATTTCCCTTAGACTGGGGCTCCATGCAAGATCTCACCTTGTGATCCTGAAAAAGGTGAGAAATCAGCCCAGAACCACAATGGATGAGTTGGTCAAAGACCTGAAAAGAGCTGGGAGATTTTGGGGAACAACCTGCTTGCCTCAGTTAGAGCATTGAAGATGTGTCGAGGCTGGATCTTCAAACATGATAATGACCTGAAGCACACAGCCAGGATAACCAAGGAGTGGCCCTGGAAGAAGCATATCTAGGTTCTGGCGTGGCCTAGTCAGTCTCCAGACCTTAACCCAATAGAGAATCTTTGGGGGGAGCTCAAATTCTGTGTTTCTCAGCGACAGCCCAGAAACATGACTGATCTAGAGAAGATGTGTGTGGAGGAATGGGCCAAAATCCCTTCTGCAATGTGTGCAAACCTGGTGAAAAATCTACAGGAAACATTTAACCTGTGGAATTGCAAACAAATGCTACTGTACCAAATATTAACAATTATTTTCTCAGGTGTTGAAATACCCATTTGCAGCTTAACATACAAATAAATAGTTTTTAAAAATCATACATTATGATTTTTCTATGTTGTTTTAGATTATGTCTCTTCCGGTGGACATACACATACAAAGACAATCCCAGACTCCTCCACAATACCTTTGGTGGTCAGGGCTGTAATTTTAGCTGGAGAAAACACATTTTTTCACCAAACAAAACCCTCGATCTGTTGGAAGTTCCGTTTGACTAACAACTTCCTTCCGAGCTGAGAGGGGGAAAATCAAGAGACCATAAAGGAAGCTGAAGCTAAGAAGTCTGAGTTGGTTCTGGGAAAGTAAACTGGTTCTGAACCAAAATGGAGGGATTCTGTATCCTGTCGCTGTATTATAGGGCAGTTTTCCAGTATCTGACCTACTAGTCTGCCTCTGTTGGGACCTATCCCCCCATTTTTTTAAGCTTTCCCTTAGACCAGTAATAACATATTTACATTTAAACTTTTTGTGTAAGGAGAGAGATTATATGATAAGTAAAGGTTTTTTTCAAGTAAAAAAAACCTAAACTTTCATTATCCAATCGTTTGAGAATCCCCCCATAGTAGCTCGCTTACACATCACTTTTCTTTTCACAGTTATATTCAAATCTGTGGGTTTTAAAGTGACATGTTATTTTTAACTGTGTAAAGTTAGCAAAGACTGCATTGTTTGAACCGAGTTACATACATGATTACATCAACATAATTGTGCAACATAATCATTTCAG